TGTGTGTGTGTGTGGCCAGCTCAGCCCACCAGGGGGCGGGGCTGGCTGGCATGTGGTGCTGGGGGATTGAACCACAGTCCCTGTGCTTTGCTAAGCCTGTTCTAAGTAGGTGCTTTAGACCACTGAGCCATCTCACCAGCCCTCAAGAAATATTTTGAGAGATTTAACTTTCACATTGCAGTTAAATAAAAATACTCAATTTAAAGTTTTTTTCAGAATAAAAAATTACTTAAAATGTTCATAAAGTAAAGCAAATTTAACTGTTTATCCCTGTTATAAGAACTATCATTAAGAATTACATTACTTTTACATTGTAAGAATTATCAACAAAGTCTAACATCCTAGTGATACAAATAATTATCTCCAAAGAAAAGCACTCCTGGCAAGGCACAGCAGCTGCGGTTCAATCAGGCATGCAGTGTCGGCCCCGCCCCCAGGGCACACTGAGACGTGATGTGAGACTGGGCATTGTGGCACATGCCCGTAATCCCAGTGCTTAGAAGGCTGGAAACAGGAGAATCACTACGAGTCCAATCTACATAGTGAGACCCTGTAGACACTGTACTAAATACATTTAAAAAAAAAGAAAAGAAGGAAAAGCACTCCTGTATATATACATATGCCCATTTGCACTTATTTTCTAATAGCCCTGTTCTCCATCTTATGAGGAAACAAAGCCACTGAGTATGGGGGGAAAAATCCTAGCATATTTGAAGCCAAAAAATTCTGAATTCCTCCTTGGCCTCTACCATGTCTGAACTTAGAAAAAGTACATTAAACCCTATAAGCTTCAATTTTCTATCTTACTGGTTATTAATACCTACACTGAAATTACTTTAAACAGAGCCTCGTACACAGAATTACTGCACAAAATTAATTTCCTTAAATGAACTGGACATTCATGAGGTAGTCCTGCACACATTTACTAGGGGGCAAAACAAGCTTCACTCCTGTTTCTCCATAAAGTCAAAATAGGTGATTCCTGCTCTAGTCACATCAGGGAAAATACAGTATTTTTCTTACAGCTGGAATGACAGAAAACTATATAGCATAGCCTGCCTAAGTATCTCATCCAGTACTGTACACTGAGAAAGTACCATTTAAATAAAGTACCTTGAAGGACAAAGATCTCTGAGTTGTTTTGAAATTATTCCAGCCTGACAACATTCTTCTACAAATCTCTCAAGCACAGAGTATGAATGTGGAACATCCAGATTAATGTCAGGAATTTCATTGTAAATTCTCTCATAACCCTATAACAATGAAATTAGGCATAGAATCATTAACTGATAAAATACACACCATGAAACAATCCATCATTACAATATCCATTATATTTAAGGTCAAATGTGCATATGATCAAACAAATCAGATCTGAGCCCTTAAAGTACAGCAGTAGTTATTAAATGTTCTCTTTAAAACTTTCAAAACAGCTGCAGACCAACATCAGACAGGCAAATTCCTCATCTACTCCTTAACACCTACAACCTTTTTAAAATTACAAAGCAAATGTCATACATCATTTCAACAATATGTAAAATTTTAAATATGAAACAAGTATGATTTGTTAGAGACTGGTGTTTTTCTCTACATGTGTATCTTCAAAACTGAATTCCTGAAGTAGAACACATTTTTTAAAAATAGGCCAAAAAATGGGGCTGGAGAGATGGCTCAGTGGTCTAAAGCACCTACTTGAAACAAGCTTGGCAAAGCACAGGGACCGCGGTTCGATCCCCAGCACCACATGCCAGCCAGACCCGCCCCCAGGTGGGCTGAGCTGGCCACACACACACACAATAAATAAAAATAAATAAATGTAATAAATAAAAATA